TAATCATCTCAGCCTAGATCTTATGGGCCAACTACTTACCTCTGTTCTCTGTGTGTGTGTGTTTTCATATTTCCTAACAGACAAAGAAGGTGGCGTCATTCCCAAGCTTTGTGGCTGGTAAGTGACTGAACTTTCTTTCAAGGGGCAGTTGCATTTTTATGTCAAAGCAAAGGGTACTTTTACTTTTGGTTTTCTCCTGCAAAGCTTGTTTGGTAAGCGCACCTTCAAGGTGAAGACAGTTCTATAATAAGACAAGGTGCTCGGGCATTTGATGGAACCCTTCATAAGCCCATGTCATCAGTGGGAGCGGGAGGTCCAGTTGCTCAGGGAACAGGAGACTCCCATTTAATTACACCTTCAGTAACGGCCTCACCCATGACACTGAGGATTAAATTAATGGATTGAGATGTATCCGTATAAGCAGCTAATTACGATCTAAGACTTTTGATTAGGGTGGATATAATTGCACCCAAATTCAGGATGTTATTTATTTTTTTAAGACTCTATTTCTTTCCACTCTCCTATCTTTTTTGAGGAGGTTAATACTGCATTCCCACATTTAATTAAAAAACCCCAGCAGATCTGTTCTGTATTACTTTGGTGTGGAATGCATGCCTGCTTGGCTGTTATCCGAAGGGGAGTCAGGTGACCTCTGACAGCTCCTTGGGGATGTGCTCCAAGCACACAGTAAAGAGCCTCTTAAATAGAGTCTTTCTCTTTACCAGGAGGCTGTTTCCTGTTCTTGCTAGTATGTTACAATAAACAGTGTGAAACTTACTAATTCTTTCAATAAGCTAGTGATTAATTTTCGTGAGTATTTATGGGAGCAAGTTCAGTTCATCTTCAAAAATAAGTAACTTTAAACCTTTTCTACTCTGGTTTTCTTTTTTTTTTAGTAAAGAATTAACATCTGGGAAAGTCCAGCCCTCAAATTCCCTTTCAAGGGACTGGTTTGAACCAGGCTAACCCAGTTCAGACTGGTTAAAAATGAATTCTCTGGCTCAACCTTGTTGTGATGAGTTCAACATTATACTGGCTCAGTATTGTTCAAATTGGATAAAAACCAGCTTTGAACTGTCAGAACCCATATCATACGATTCAAATAACCTTGACTCCATCCTGACCGATTCAAAGAGGCTCAAATGTGTTGTGCCCAGCAATTTCATGTGGTGGTAGGTACAGTTTAGCTGGATAAAACTGGTTGTACTGCTTCGCATTAGGTCACTATGGATCATGGAGATTCCAGTCCAACTTGCTAGTTGTGGTTTTTTCGGGACCTAATGACTGGCAGGACTCAGCATCTCGTTCACAGGGAAGATGCAGCACATCCCGGATCCGGGGTCCTTGGTCGGAAGACCAGGGTGGGGCTGTGCCTGTCACATTGTTCTGGGGATAGAGTTTCTTGTGGATTCAAGAAGTTCACTTTTCTTTCTTTTTTAACATTGAAATATAGTCGGTTTACAATGTTGTGTTAGTTTCTGGTGTACAACATAGTGATTCATATGTATATATGTATATATATGAGAGATATATATATATATATATGTATATATATGAGATATATATATATATCCCTTTCCATATTCTTTTTCATTATAGGCTATTACAAGATATTGAATATAGTTCCCTGTGCTATGCAGTAGATCTTTGGTATTTATCTATTTTATTTATAGTAGTTTGTATCTGCAAATCCCAAACTCCCAATTTAGCCCTCCCCATCCCCTTACCCCCCTGGTAACCATTAGTTTGTTTTCTATATCTGTGAGTCTGTTTCTGTTTCGTGAATGAGTTTATTTGTGTCTTTTTTCTTTTTTGAGATTCCACATATAAGTGATACCATATGGTATTTTTCTTTCTCTTTCTGGCTTGTTTTACTTAATGTGACGATCTCTAGGCCACCCATGTTGCTGCAAAAGGCATTATTTTAAAACCTTTTTTATGGCTGAGTGGTATTCCGTTGTGTATACACCACAAAAGAAGTTCACTTTTCCGCATATCTTTTCATGGTGTCCTTTGGGCAAAACTCCCTCAAGTTTGTCTGGGGGAGTGATTTGGACACTAGGCTCTGCTGGCTTCTGACTCGGCCTCACACCTGCAGGGGAGGGGAGTGGAGAGGGACACAGAAGTAGTGTCAGTGCCTAGGTGCCTTGGGTCCCACCTCTAGGTGCCAGCATTCCAGAAGACAGCCTACTCTGTCTGAGTTCAGACTGTTCTACACCAAATGAGAACGATTCCTCCAACCAACGCAGAGCGGCTAATGCTTCTTGTACCCAGCTCAAACCAGCGCAGACAACCTGAATTCAGACTTTCATATACAAGAGAAGCCCTTTGATCATTGTGAAAACATAGAGGTCTGACAGCAAAAACACATCCTTTAATAGGAGAGGATTCATTTTCAACAGCGACTTCAAGGACCAAAAATCTTACTCAGCAGCAGGAAGAGATAGTGATGAAAATCCCTAGCATGTAATGAATGTGGGATCCATCCCCAGTTTGATACCTTTATCAGTTAGGGATGCCACCTACTGTGAGCTCACAGGGAAGCTTCTTGTTTAAAGAGGTCCAGAGGCTAGGGGCTGCTGGGTCGATGGCTCCGTGATGTCAGGTCTGAGCTCCCCCTGCCCTTGCCATCCTGCCTGAGCAGCCCGTTGTGTGCAGCGGGAGAGGGCATGCTTCCCTGGTGAAGACACACACCCCACGTTCCAGGGAGTCCACCAAGGAGAACCTTCTGGATGTCAGAGCTGCTGGCCCCTCTCAGGCTCAGAGTCCCAGAGGCCTCGAGGGAAGAGCCCTGTGGTGACCACAGTCCACGGGAAAACGCTGGCCATCCCAGACCCTCATGGTCTGGAAGGTTGACACTGCAGGGTACCCCTGGCGGGAGGGCCTGCACAGAGCTCTCTCCCCTTTGCCAGCACAGTGAGAAACGGCAGGCAGCCCCAGGGTGTCCCCTCCCTCAGGACATGGAGGCGGCGGCAGCCTGCATCCAAGTGGGCCAGATGGTCATCGGCTTCCGAGCGAGTGTGTGTGAAAGTCTCACTTTTTTATAAAATCAGAAATGTGCTCACTAAAGCCAAAGGTTGGAAGAATGGAGCCCAACAGTGGCACTTCAGCACAAAATATCAAAGGCTGATAGATCGTGTTTGGTCCCTCACACTGTTTTCCTCCTGGTCCAGCAGCTAAGGCTCTCGGAAGACATCCTGAAACACCCACGTCCCATTCACACTCTTCACTCCTGCGAGGATGCTGGTGGTCCTCAAGTCCCAGGGCCCCCTGAAAGGGTCCTTACACCCTGTCTATACCTTGTCAACTTCCCACCCCGGTGCTGGGAGATCCTGGGGGTCCCTGTCCCTGACTTACAGGCCAGGGGCTGAGCTCACCTCACACCTTCCTTCTCTTCGGGGTCCTCACTGTGGTGAAGAAGCCACTTGGCTATTTTCGTCCAGTGGGCACTTCCGATCTGAGCCTGGGTTTGCTCTTAAAATAAGCAGTTGGGGCGAACCTGTTCCAATAAGACTTTTACGTTGAAGGCAGTTCTCAGCCCATGAGAGAAGCGGGAGTCCTGAGCCCAGAACAGTCCTGGGCAGACTGGTGACCAGTAGGTCTGAGATGCTCTGGTTCAGATGACAAAAGTCAGGTAAACCTGGGAGGCCAGGAGGGAGCAGAGGATACAAAGAGTGATTCTGAAAACAAGAAAGACTTCCTTGTTACAAACGAACAAAGGAACGTCTTGTCAAAATCTTGTCTCCAGTATTCCATTTGGTCAGCATGAACAGGGCTTGGACCTATCTTAAAATAGGAACTTCCGTTCTCTAAGGTTTGGTAAGATTTCTCTGAACTGTGCTTGGTTCAAGCCAATAGCCAATAAGAATATAAAACCTACCCTGGAAATCCCTGTAGTACCTCCTTTTCTGTCTGCACACCCCAGGCCCCTAATCCCTGTCTGCTGCGGAAGCCACTACTGAATTTCTGGTGAAGCCTTCCAGAAATTTCCTGGACATATGTAAGCCTATATAGAGACCTTTTTTCTTAAAAGAGGTATTGCACTGGCCACATGGGTCTGCACTAAGCTTTCTCATTCCTTGGTCGATCTCGGAGACAACAGCTAGAGATCCACCTAATTAAGAGAAAGCACGGGATTCAGTTACCAGGACGTGTTATGGTGCATTAACCAGTGCCCTACAGACTGATGGTTAGGTGGTTTCTGGTCAGCACCGCAGTGAGCAGCCTCAGGGACGTGTCTTTGTGTTCAGATGTGAGTTACCTGTCTATTTTCGAATTTTATTTTTAATTGTTGTGTAGTTTCAGGAGTACAGCAAAGTGATTCAGTTGTATGTACACATATATGTACATTTTTTCAGATTATTTTTCATTGTATGTTTTTCTTTCAATGGAGGCAGTGGGGATTGAACCCAGGACCTCATGCATGCTAAGCATGCACTCTACCACTGAGCTATATACCCTTCCCTCTCCATTATATGTTATTACAAGAAATTAAATATAGCTCCCTGTGCTATACAGTGGGACCTTGTTGTTTACCTATTTTATATATATGTAGTATATTTCTTATATATATAAAGTAATGTGTATGTGTTAATCCCAAACTCCTAATTTATCCCTCCCTGCCCTTTCCCCTTTGGTAACCATAGTTTTATTTTCTATGTCCATGAGTCTATTTCTGGTTTGTAAATAAAATTTCTATCATTTTTTAGATTCCACATGTAAA